GATTAATTTTAATTTGGTTATTTATTCTCTGAAGAAGTGACTTACCCTAAGTCACGAAACGTCAGAAAATCCATTTTTCTACTCATTGGGATATTACAAATATATTAATTTTATTTACAATAGGAGGATAGCTTAAGGATTAATGTACAGACATGCATTCGATCATACACACAGAAATTAACGTGATGAATTAAGCGTCTGAGTTACAATGAGTAGACAAATGATACAGTAGCCAAATGGGCTTGCCACAGGTCCATTCCCGATGGTGATGCTTCTTGCGACCCAGCATTTCCTGACACGTTGAAATTAATGTTTCTTTATTTCCTTTCCATTTGTTTCCTATAGTATTTTCCTCTTATTTCACTGAATTTAGTAAGGTTTGGAATCTGTTACTGATACCAGTCCTGAATTCGTTGAGTTTGTTAATAACTCGAGGGAACGCTGTAGTAAACTCTCGTAATGTTATCTGTCTATTGCTTCTTTAGCTTCAGTTTCAGCTTGCCCATCACCAGATGGTAATCTTTACTTTGTTCTTACGTCTTTCACGAATCTACAGGATCGTTGTCTGACTCCATTCTGATTGCTTTATAACAATGATAACGAAGCACATATCCCGCTTTCGATGTAAATTAAAGTTAAGTACTCTGGAAATCGTTCCAATTCTAGAACCCGTACTCGAAAAAATTCCAGACAAGCAATCGCATATCTTATGTCAAAAAAACTCACATATTGGCTAAACAAATATCCCTTCCACCTAGTGTTTCCAAAGAAGAATGGAAAGTTTTGCGCTCACTGCAAGATGATAAAACAATTGTCACTACCAAGGATGACAAAGGTAATACGACAGTTGTCATGAATAAAAGAGATTATGAAGAAAAAGCTCTTAATCATTTATCGATAGGACCATATTTAAAGACAGACTTTAAAAATGTTTCAGTGGCTAAAAATAAAGATAAACCGGATTGATATGATGGAAAGAAAAGTCAATTTTCGATTGATTTACTCATTATGAGTTTACTTCAAGATTACTTCTGTTTTGATTCAATGTAATGATTACTCAATGTAGTATTTGTTTTCTTTTCTCGTATGATATTTTATTCTGTATAATACGCGATTTTCTTGTATTCCATTAACATGAACTATGCTCATTATGTGATTTGTTATTGTATTTTTCATATATGTGACTTCATCCTAATTATTAATCAAAATGGGTGTACACTCAATATATCAATGAATGTTTATTCTACTAGAGTTTTCGTCGTCGTGTTTTGGGGTTAATAAATCATCACTTATACCAGTCTTTGTGTTCTTATTTTCGCGTCGTGGGAATTGCAGAGGTCCCTCGTTCCGAGTATAAGTGATAAGCGTTTTCGACATAACAATCAGCGACGACCAGATACAAAAAGTAGCATTAAAAGAACCAAGACAATAAGCATTCAAACGACAAGTTACAACGCAGAGACAAGTGAACTTCTGAAAGAACTAAAGCTATTGAATGGCTTTTCCCTATGGTTTACTTTACACCTTAAATTTAGCACAATATCGCATTACTATAGGCTATCGAAAATTCGCAAACTTGACATTGTTTTAAGACTATTAGTGAACTTCACAAGCACTCCTATATATGCTTTATCTAAATATCTAAGCAGCTTACTGAATCCCCTTCAACATAACCTAGTCCGTCGTAAAAGATTCTTACGAATTCAAATACAAAACCTCGCAATTATCTATCAACAAATACGAAACAATGGTGAGCTTTGATGTTGTATCTTTATACACTAGTATCCCAATTGATAAATGTCTAGACTTCATTAATGGTTTACTAGAGAACGATCATACTCTATCGAGTAGATGCCCAATAAGTATTAGTTCTACCATAAAGTCCCTCAAACTATACCTAAACCCAACTCTTCACTTTCAAATGGACTTTATATAAACAAACGAATGGATTAGTCATTGAATCTCCAGTACCTCTGACTGTTGCAAACCCATTTATGTCCCTCAGTGAGACGATTATTTTTGCCAGCATCATCAGATCACGCATCTGGCTCAGACATGTGGATGACATACTTATCATGATTAAAAACTCTTAGGAATTTCCCCGAACACATCATACTAACTTTCGAAAAGGAAGATGAACATAGTGGACTACCATTCTTAGAGTGTTTAGTTAGAAGGAATTCGAATGAAAGTCTAGACCTGGTCATATGTCGAAAACCGACACATTTGAATCAGTATATTGATTTTAACTCTACACATCCATTCAGTGCGAAAACTTCCTTAACCCCAAATCTCTTCAGAAGAGTAACCAAAATAATTACCTCTGAAGACAAGCTGAAAGAAAAAATGAATATAGCAAACATCCTACGTTCTAACAATTATCCCAAAAATATTATTAAAACAAACCGTCCTTCGGTAAATAACAATCCTAATGAGATCTCTTGGACTGGTACTATGGTTTTACCTTACCGCTAAGGTACAACAAAGAAATTACAATGGATATAAAAACCTTACAAAATTAAAGCTTTCTGTGAGACAACTAACACCCTCAGAAACGCTTTACTTAGAATTAAAGATAAAACCCCACTCATTTCCACTAAAAATTGTGTCTATAGATTAGGCTGTATCGATCGTGATGTGTTCTATATTGGAGTCTTTCCGTGAGATCTCGACTCGTGCCAAGGAACATTTAAGTTATACAATTTAAATCAACAATAGCAATGCGTTATTTTCAATAATCACTAAGTTGGTATCAAAATAACTCAGAATGGCTTTTCCAACTACCACAGAGAGGCGAGTAGCCAAACTGTGCCCTCAATAGGAAAGAAGGACTGAATATTTATCTAACCTGAACTGTTTTTTCAGACAAACATACTTGACTTTAGTTTTATTTTACAATTTTTCTGTTCATTGGGATATAACAAAAATATATCTATTAAGATTATACATGTTTGAATAAATGACTAGTGAGTGATGTATACTTGAATTAATTTTTAATGTCAGTTGACATAGTGAGAGAGAACTTAGAATAAAACTAGATAAAGTAGGATGAGAGAAATAATTGTGCATTAATCAGTCAGATAGGATACACAACCAAGGAATGCATAATTCATGAATATGGACGAAATAAGGAGTAATTTTGTAGTGAGCGAAAACTTGGTGGAAAAACCAATGTATTATTTAACGCGAAATTACAGAGTGCCTTTATAATGTATGAAAATCATACATTAAATAGATTATTCACACACATCCCTTCAGTTGTCCTTTACAAGCTTCAGGGTTCTTTCAATTCTGTTGTTACTCGCTACCTATTTCACCTCTTGTTTCAGTAAATCACATCTGTTACTGCTACATACTACTTATACCTGTCAGCATAAGTAGCATGCACCACAATATAACGGAGTTAGTGGTAGATAAACTGAAGTTTAGTCAGTACATATATCCAAATGGAACAGGATGTAATGCAATACAAAATTGAACGGAGTAACACAATGGTATAATTCTATTCCACAAACAGGATACAATAATGGTGTATGAACAAGAATTATTGTTCGTATGTGTAGGTGCAAAGTAAAGGGTATGCTTATAATGATACACTGGACTGTCACTTGAGTACATTCTAGCCAAATGTCTTACATGATGAAATCTGTTTCCATTTAAGCAGTAAATAACACCAAAATTTCCACGCCATAAAGTCACACTATTTCAAGCTTAACAGTATATTTTGATCTACACTCAGTGATATAACATAATTTAATATTTCTTCCTGCATTGATCAAAATACATTTAGATTGTAATTGATTGATTACTAGGTAGTGACCGATGTCATGAACTCTTCAGTGCAGATCGAATCCTATCGACTACGTTGCAATATGGGTACTAGTCTAGGTGACTTAACGTCGCGTGTAATATGTTAAGATGAGAGGGTGGTTGGTGGTAGTCGACAGGAAACCCATAACCTAGATTTCGTACTATTTGGCACCTGTAAACCTGAGATAACTGATGCTTCATGATGGATATATTTAAAATTATCCATATCGAAGATCCACGGTTTCTTACTTCGAAGAAATTATTTCCTTTTATAAGTTTCGATAAAGCAATGAGAAGACGTAGCTGACCTGAAAATTGTGATGTATTTGCGCTATATATTTCAAATAGTCTGTTTACACATATAAATGTCAAGTATTTTGTGTCAAGATTCTGAATGTATCTTCCCAACGATTGAACCCCATGACAAAGGTGTTTCCACTTTCAAGGTTATAGTTGAATCCTGGGATGCTGCTGGCAACTGCATTACATGAAGTACTTGAAAGAGCGTGTGAACACGAGCAGTGGATTCCAAGGTTTGGATGGAAGTAGGAATCACAATAAGAAAAACGTTAGTAGATTTATAGTTTTTACATGAGAAGATTCTAGAGCGCTTTCCAAGTACCCAGTGGTGCCGATGGGTTAGGAAATAGCCAATCAGCGTGCCCTGATACAATCCTGCACAGAATATGTCTTAATCCAATCTATATCTCGCTAACAAAATAATCCCAGAAAAACTAGTGATATTTTGTTATTTAAAATTATGGGAAGAAAATACAAAATTAGTTTCATTTTGCCAAATAAGTAACAATAAGAAAACTAATATTTGGAGAAATTAAGAATCAAATGTAAATGTTTGTACAAAATAACTTCACTGATAATCATAGTTTGTGATGGTTACATCATATGACTAAAGCAAGAACAATCAATGTAGCAGAATAACATGAATTCATCATATTTCACGGTTTCTCGTTAGCTACTTGCAACCTTAACGTAGTAACACTAATCTTTAATAAATTCATTGATAAGTGGGAAAATTTATATGTAATGGATACATCAATCGTAAACATAATGATGTTAATAATTTTTCAGTAAATATTCACAAGTACTAATAATTTGCAAGTAGGTTATGCAGGATGGAAAGTGAATGAATTAGTCAAAATAGGAAAATAAAAACACGTAAAAAGAAACAATCACGCAACATTTTGTTTCTCAGTCAAATCACGGAGAAACCTGTTAATCACTTGTTTATCCAGATGTTTGTCAAGTACACTGCTAATTTTACCATCAGATGATACTGAAGTTAGTTTAATGTTGTGAAACATCGAATCATTACAGTTAACATTATTGAACGGAATGGTGTTAGTGAGTTCTGATAAAGGAGCACGTTGTTCACTTCTCCTAGTCATACTACTAGATTTCAGATTAAATGAAGATGATGCAGAAAGCAGCGTAACAGTATTAACCAAGCGTTTAAAAATGTTTATAAGATCAGTTATCAGATTGTTAGATCTTTTAGCACAATATAATCGAGGTATCCAGTAACTTGTTACGTGAATTAATCGAATAGAGGGCAACTGATTGTCTAAATGATGAGAAAGACAATCTACTAGATTAAAAGAAGGAAACAAAGCACAACAAGGCAGAAAATTAAATAATTTAGACTTATTATCATCTCCTGCTAAACAGTTTAGTAATGAGACAATGGTTTGCAATTCGTTGTAGATATGTTGAACAGCAATTAGGTTTGATAAGTTTTGTTCCGTGACAGATTTCGTACAAGATGATGGAGACTGATTTAGTGACGAAGCACGTTCGGAAGCAAGTGATATTTCGTTTCTGATGAACTCAATCCACCGTGTGTAATGTTCATGTAGATTGCTACTCATGAAATCAATATTGAAAACATTGACTACAACGCAAGTTGCAATAGCTAAACCAATTGGGGAATTTTCGAAATGACGTTCATGGCCTTCCTCAGTATTACTGATATGTTGTTGATGCCAAATTGCTAAAGTTACAGCCAAAGTAAAAATCCAATCAGGTTGGAGTGTGTGTTGCGGAAGAGGAATATTCAACTGACTGCTTACTATTTCATCCACTGAATTACTTTTATTTGAATTCATAAGAGGACTAATTGTGAGAGGGAGCTCGGTTAACATATCATCACCGACCCATGTGTACTCAATTATATTTGGATTTAGTTCTACACCTGCACAGTGCTCTACTCCGTAAAGAATTCGGTAAACAAGTAGGCGTAAATTGACGGAGTAAGCATGAACTGACAGAAACGGTTTTCTAATGGAGTGGTGTAAAATATCAATAACAGCTGGAGAAAGTTTAACCTTTCGATATAGTTCTGTCAAATTACGAGGCCAATCATGAGTGAAATTGAACTTTATTGGCTGTTTGGCGTTGAGTTGATTGGTCAGACGATCCATATGTTGTGAGCTTACTGGAGCATTAGTTTCTTCACTAATCTCAATTAGCCTACCACCCTTAGGTACATTGGAACTGGAGTTTACTAAACAAAAGTGAGATGCTATTTCAAGTCCATTTTCTAGAACATTATCCATAAAAGCCGCAATACAATCCAGAAGATACTCAGTCACACTTTTTCGTTCTTCAGTACGATGTGCTTGAATAACATACTCATAAAGTGTAACATAATTTACATTGGATGAATTTATCAACCAGTTAACTAGAACAAACCATTCATGTAAACGAGGACTAGGGTAGTTGGAGTAATCTGTCGTACTATAGTTTAACTGCTTACACACATTAGCACGTACCTCAAATCGCCCAGCATACAGTACACTTAATAAAGGTCGTAAATGGGGTACAACTGACGAAATACGAGAAAACTTTTGGTGGAAAACATGAGACAAAATAATACCATCATCTTTGCAGCTAAAAAAATCTAGGAGATGGATCGGGACGTAGATTAATTCTTGCATAATATTTGCTTCAGTTTTAGTAGCTTGAGCAGGAAACATGTAGTAAATATCATAACTGGATGCTATTAACGGACAATGTAAATATATGGATAATGAAGCAGCATCAAACTGAGCTGAGTATAGTGATGTCATGTATTTTATTTGAAAGAACGACAACACATCTGCAAATGATGATTTGTAAAGATTGATTACGGACCACATTTGATCATTGTAGCGTGATTGGTTTTGCTGAAAAAGGAAAAGAAAGATGAGATAGGAAGTAAAACAGGAGTACTGACTGGTTAGCGAATAGACAAGTTAGGAGACAAAGAAAATCTAAGTCAAAATACTTAGATAAAAAATGGCAAAGGCGATACAACAACAACACATTACTATATTTAGCGTTTGTTATACAAATATGTAGTGTTATTATTAGTATTTTAACAGATATTAGTACAAGGAGGCACCAAATACATATACGCCACACAAAACTCATTTGATATGTGTGAGGGCTGTGATACTGCCCGGGTGCCCAAACCGAAGTAGGTGGTTTTCCTATGGGATCACTCCCCGAGCCTTCGACCTGATCCACAAGGCAGTGGGGCATCGTAAGGAGATGCAGTCCCATGGAAGCCAGTGACCAACAATTGGTTCATACGCCGTTTGTTCTCGCAGGATACTGGAGCCCATGTGCACCATTGGTTTGGAATCCGGTTAAAGCGCCGAACATTCGCTTTTCGTCCTCTCATTTTCGTAAACAACACCCCCGCTACGAGAAGGTAGTGAGTAGGACTTCCCTGGAAGAGGCTATATACGCGTTGCCATGTGAGATCATTTCGAGAGGGAGAGCGAAGTCTCTCCACTCTCGGCCGTACCAGGGAATTTGAAAGCAAAGGCGATACAGCATTAGTGTTTAATTTGTAGTTATCCAAATATGAAGCAGAGGTCTGGGAATTCAGTTTACAAGCATTGATTCATGGTTTGAATCGTGTCAAATATTGGAGAATCTAAAACTGACTAACGAAGGAAACCAATGCGATTTCCAACTAAAACTGAGTAAAACGAACCAATTAGTCGAGTAAACGTCATGGACACAGAACTTATATCGACTTGTCAGTGATTCAGACATTACAATGAGAAATTTGACAAACATGATATACGCTTAGGGTTCTTAAAATCGACATTCGTTAACTAAACAGTTTTACCTCTGTAAATTGACTCGACTCAGAAAAATACAAAGTTATCTGCTCATCTAAAGCTAAGTCGAAAGATTTCAGCAGAAATAAGTTTTCTTACCACCAAGGCTATGGTCTTGGATTCACCTTAATTGTTTTTCGTAGTATGGAGATGGAAATATATTAATTACACAAAGGTGTAGGTGCAGGTTGGGAGAAAGCTAGGGGCGGCCAGACCAAAACATGGCAAAAATCCACGAAGTCACTGACAAGTGGACCGGGTCACGTTGCTAGGTGAAGACTACCTGGTTGGGGACCGTGAGATGATAGCAACCGATAGTAAAAGACTCTGAATGACAAGGCTCAAAGTCATTTGCAATGGTGCGGGTGCATCTACTCTTTGTGTTCTTCTGAATTCTTCATGTTCCTTTTTTCCTCTTTCCACATTTATTTCACTGGATTATACTCCCTGAATAACATCTTCAAACCCTAATCTTTCCTATTACTGCTTACACTTTTACTACCTCTACCACTATGGGATTTGAATCGACAATTGTATCTCTGTTGTAATGTGGTATGGTAACTCGAACTGATACGCGTACGTACGAAGTTCTACGTTGTTTCTGACTGAATGAATCACACACAGGTTAACATAAACATTATGACGCTAGTTGGTATGTAATAAATAACAGGGGAAACGTGAATATGAAGAAGCGTAAACTATAAAGTTTACTTTGATGGGACTAGCGACCTAAAATATGGCACAACGTGGCAACAACTTTGACACTTGATAATATTCTAACTCATGACTCACTGTTTGTATGGTTTTTCGATCCACATTCTAGTTGTTCATCCGAATATTTTGCTGTTTTAAAATGTGACACTTTGAACTTGTATCTTTTGGTACATCTCAAGTCAGAACGTTGACTGTATGTGGTAGTATCAGCATGTAAGTAAATATCATCATACCAAGTTGAGAATGTTTTTCATTTCTTTCTAAGGTTCCACCTTTACGAACAAAACTTCTGATTTCAGTCGAGATAACTTCACAATTAGATCTAATGGATTCTTAAAATGAATCGAACGAAAATCACATACGTTTATCAACATATTTAGCCTAACGATTAAGGGGTCAAGTGAAGTTTGGATATACTGACGGTCATTATGAATACGTAGCAAGTTTACATTGCTTGATTTCAGATTAGGGGACAGAGTAGTTGGTTTAAAAACTGGAGTAGGCCAACCTCTAATGACAGTTCTGAATGTTTACCTATACCTATTGAGTTTTCTTTTACGTGAGCGAGATATCGGTGGATAAATTGATGTAGCCGGAAGACAGTAAGTCAGAAAGCTTCCAAACCGTTGACTTAAAAATAAAATGTTTGAAAGCTGTAGTCTTGAAAAAGTGAAGACTTTGAGATTGAATTTATAGATAAATTAGTATCATGTAGCTGTTCTAAATGATGGGCTGACAGGGGTTAGCGGACTAATTCAAATAAAGATAATACAGAGAGTGACACGTAAATATTTACAACAAAAGTTTCTCTTGAAGAGATAATATATTTAAAAATAAAACTTACTCCAACTTTAGTGCAACCATCAAAAATGAAGAGTGGTTGAATGTCACACATTAGTACTTGGCTTATCAACTTAGAAGCCGTCATTGAGAAAAGAAGGAACTCATTATGATTATTATCTTTAAAACCAATTACGTTCTTCAATATAAAATGAATAAAGTCATCGCCATGTATAACCACAACAGTTTTTTGGAGAAATGATACTTCGAAGTTAAAATAACTCTTCGAAAGGAAGAGACCAAGATTATTTCGTGTGATCATAATTGTCATTCAAAAACTAAACAAATAAGACAAAAATGTTGTGTAGATGTCAAGTTGCTCAATGACGTGTATGTTTCACAAAGTACATACTACATGCAATATGAGAAGCCATGTTGATTAACATCATACATAAATGATTGATTTTAATTCATATTTTCTTTATTACTATTAATCTATTTTCATGAGTTCTAATCACTATTTCAATGTTCCAGAACTTTCACTCTCTAACTTTATTTATTTATTCGAATCAAACATTTTATGAGCTCATTAACTCTATCTGAATATTTTCTACATCATCATATACATGTATTGATCCTTATTCACACTGTTATGTATAAATATGTCAATATCTGTAATAATGTTGAATTTCAAATAATTTAGGATGTAAGCAGCTGATGAGAACCTGACGAAATAAAATGAATTCATATGATTCTGCACCAATCTTTGTTCTTGCTCTATTTAAGATAACAATATTCCACTTATCAAGTATGGTCATTTTAAATAACCTTTACAATTAAGCCACCTACTACATTCTATCTCGACTACAAAACAACTTGTAAAACAACTCTCAGTCCTCAACTTTTATATTTACACTGTATTTGCTCTTTGAATGTCCTGTCTTTAAAGGCAAAGTTTTACAATCATAAAGCAGAACACAGGGAACCACTGAGCAGTATACTCATACTTTAGTCAAGACGGACAATTCGTTTGCACCAAAAATAACGGAAGCTGATGAAGGTCATTGTAGCTTTCGGAATCCGTGTTGGAATTTTATCAGACACTAACACAAGAGACTTGAAAAAATAAATGAAGCGGTCGACGAACCCAATTAGTTTAGATGTAGGGCCAAGAACAGGTGTTAGTTTGATCTACCTTAAACCATCAGTATCGTGGGGATGAGATAAACGTTAAGAAAATCTAGACAACAGTAACACTTGTAATAATATATAAAAATTGATCACTATCCGTAATTTTGGACAAGTTACGCAGATCGTTTTTCTCCGTTGAGGGATTTATTCAGCTTTGTTCTTACTGAAGTATATCATATGATATATGATAAAATATTTATTTTCCATGGTCTTAATTTAAAGTACCAAAAGAATTGTAACTTCTGTGGACTTTCCCTATACTTCTATAGATGACACGATCACTTTATTGCGTAGTTCCGCACTTTTCTGGCACAATCTTTAATTATAGGCCGATTTTTTCTGTACTTGATGCAGGAAGTGATTGTCTACAACCAGTCTTCAGTAATAAGGATAGTAGGTCGGTGAACCTGTATTAATCCTGACACATTGCTTTCCAGTGAAGGTCCAGCTTATCTTTGAAAGTATTCATTGATGGGGCTGATACTACTTGTTCGGTTAAGGCGTTCCAATCATTGACTACTCGATGAGAAAAACGGGATCCCACTTTAAGTTTATTAGATTGTGGTTTACGAACCTTCTTGCTATGACCTCGGAGATTATTAGTGCTAGAGGGAGCAAAAAGAAGACATATTAAAACCCAAATCATAATTAAAGATCCGAAATGCCAGTATAAGGTCACCTCGTGTCCTACGATACGACAAGGGGAAAAGATTTAGGCGTTTTAAACGCTCACCGTAAGGGAGTCTAGAAAGACCCTTTACTAATTCCGTTCCTACACGCTGGACACGCCCAAGGGAGTTAGTATCCTTTACCAGACACGGGCTAGCTGTTTGGATACAGTACTCTAAATGTGGTCTAATATAGATGGGATATAAAATTCTAAACGTTTCCTCGTCAAAAGATTTGAACGCTCGGCGAAGTGACCATAACGCACGAAAATCTTTGACAGCGGCTGCTTTGCAATGCTTAGTTGTTTATAAATCATGACTTAATACTACTCCTAAGTCTTTATGCTCTTGAACGCAAGGAAGAGGTTTATCCTCAATAGTATAACGGTAACTTACCGTGATCGATGTGCACTAGTACACTCTTCCTAGCATTGATTTCTAAGCCCCACTCTCGAGCCCATCTGACTAAATCGTCTAAGTCAGCTTGAAGATCCACATGATCAGCCGCACTTTTTATTGTTCTCCAGATTTTTACATCATCAGCAAACAATAATGTCGACGACCTAAGTAACAGCGGCAACTCCTTAACGGAGAGAAGGAAGAGCAGAGGGCCTAAGATGGTGCCTTGGGGTACACCACTTTTGACCGGCTTCCAATTGGATAGCGTTCCATTGACCCTCACTCTTTGTCTGCGGTCACATAATAAATTTCCTATCCACTCCCGTACAGTACCTAATATTCCGAAGCTCGTGAGCTTCTGCATAAGACCTACGTGTGAAACCTTGTCAAATGCTTTGCTAAAATCTAGGAGTATCACATCGACAGACAGACCGTTATCTAGGGCTGTTGTCCAATCGTCCCTCGCAATAAGTTAGTCAAGCATGAACGCTTGTTACGAAATCCGGGTTGCTCATGAGCTAACAGATTGTGTAATTCCATGTGGCTTAGCAACCTAACCCGAATTATCTTTTCAAGTAACTTAACGACTATGCTAGTTAGACTGACAGGCCGGTAGTTAGATACTATCTCTCTTTGACCGTCCTTAAATATAGGACTGACTATAGCGTCTTTCCAATCTCTAGGGAGTTCAGCGAGTGAAACAGACATGTTGAAGAGTATCGCGAGCGGTTTTGAAATAATGTCCGCAAGAGATAACAGCAACCGTGGATGTAACCCGTCAGGGCACGGTATCTTACCAGGTTTGAGGTTAGTTATCAACGGAAGGACAGTTTCCACAGTCACCTGTACAGATTCAATGGTTGGTATCTCGGTGTGAGTGGGACAAGTATTTGTTACAATAATCGTTGAGAAGACTTCGCTAAAGTAGTCTGAAAAAGTCTCGGCTTTTGCTCGATCTGATTCAGCTAGTAAATCTGAATTTTCGTGTAACAGTAACGGGGGAATACCATCACTACGTTTCATTCGCCGTTTAACATACGAAAACAATCGTTTCGGACAAGTATGGCTATCATATACTAACTGTCGTTCGTAAGTGATACGGGATTTTGCTATGGTTTTCTTACAGATATTACGGAATTTTTGATACTCACGCTTAAATGGTGCATGACCTGTCAACAAGAATAAGTCCCAGAAATGTTTCCTACGCTTTAACAGCTTTCGGGTTTTCTTATTAATCCATGGAGGGCAATGTGATAGCTTGCGTGCTGACCATGGGATAAACGGCGACGTTACGGATTCGAATGTAACCTTAAACTTATTCCATTCATCCTCAATCAATCCATCCGCGTCGGCCAACCAATCAGTCGAGATAGCAGTTTCTGATTTTCGGAATATTGGCTCGCCAGATATTGGAACGGGGTGGAGCAGATACGAATTGTATATCATGTGTCCTAAGCTTAAAGTGAATTATAACGTGATCATTGTTAACTAGTGGGGGAAGGTGCTGAATATCAAAGACATCCTCATAGTGGTGAGTGAGGGCGAGGTCCAGAAGTGACGGACCATATTGCGAATCAATATGTGTCGGTTTTGTGATGCATTGTACAAGTGCACACTGAATAACGGTAGATAAAAGGTCGCTATCGAAAGCACTACTTGGAGCTGTAAGCTCTATCCAGTTGATCTGCGGTGCGTTGAAGTCCCCAATGATGAGACAACATTCTGCCATACTCCAAGAACAGATGTGTCTTAGGATAAAGTCGTCAGCAAGACAAAATGGACTACGGTATTTTCCCCCTATAGTCACTAACCCATTTCTAGATTTAATCTTACAACATGCAACCTCACATGTGACACTGATATGTGCCTCCGATATGGTTGATTGTATACGAAAGTGATCCCTAACGTATAATATTATACCTCCTCCCTTGCGACTTGAAACTCTATCACTTCTGATACAGATATGACCTGCAATGAAAGGAGAACAGTCTATATCTACTATGAACCAAGTTTCTGTAACAACGATTATGTCGGGACATAATTCTTCCACCATCAGAATTATCTCGGACGTTTTATTTCTAAGACTCTGAGCGTTCGTGTAGCACACACTTAAGGTGTTTTTGCAATCAATCGTTCTATCCATACAGGCCTCGGAAGTATTGGCTTCCAAGACCTGACTACCCGAAAACCCTTAATGGTAAGGTTATTTTCGCCATTTAATTTGCGAGTTTTCAACTCCGTAAGAGCATTCTTCCACTTGATTCGATCCTCAAGCGGCCAATCTGGTCGAATACGGATATTTGAGTCACGAGTTCTTGGTGCGTTTTTCAATGATATGTCTCTTTCTTCAAAACTCCCGAGAACCAGCTTCAGGATTCTTCTTGGTTGGGTCTCGCCTCCAACCCATTTACCAAGTCGTATTACTTTTGTAATATGTACCCCTGAAACCTCTTCAGGTAGTACATTCCTTACCATAGACTCCACTAACTGCAGGTCATGTGCACGTCTTCTAGCAGGGTCGTTGTCTTTCGACTCCTCTAGATTCCAAATAATTAAACTAGGGAGCGGTTTAGCTTCTTTTGGAACTGTGTTCACAGCTTTTGACCATGACGTTAGATCCTGTATTTTAACTCCTGGTATCTTACGATTAGTTTTTATTGTAACTGAGTCCTGGAAGTCGAGCGAGTGACGCACAATGTTAGACGAAGCTTTACTATGGGACTTTGGCGAGGTGGTCTGAGAGTGCACCAAGGACTTATCAAGTAAACGGTCATTAGTTTTAGCTGTCTTTCCTATTCTTCTGCGTTTCCGTGTCATTTATATTCCATCAGTCGTAGCATCCACATTAGACGCACTCGGGAAAGTAATTGTTTTATCTGGGTCACCGGTTGCTGCTGCAGCAATATGGCCACCAACATCTAATGAGGTGCCACTCATTGATTGTTTCGGGGTAGACGGTTTAATAGCGGGTTGCACAGTTGGATGTCTGGCTTGCGCCGTGACAGCATTTACGACACTAAGGCAATCTTCGCCATCAGTACCAATGTTGCCAAATACAGCCCACATCAACCTTCTTATTAGCCAACACCCGGAGACTAATTGCTTCCTGGATAAGCAATGTTTTGCTTGAGCAACAAAAACTACAAAGCCAATGAGAGTTGGGCTTTGAGCACCTTTTATATGCAGTGCGGCTTAATCGGATGCACATCTTATGGAACCACTTATTACACTCATCACATCGCATACCTTCCTCCACGGGAAATAAGCAATATGGTTGTCCAAATTTATGAGCAGATCTAGCCATCTTGAAAATCAACTAGAACAGTGACAAAAACAGGATATGTAAAAGGATTCTCAAACCTTCACTAAATAAATCAAGTAAAAGTCGACCAAGAATGCTTCGATGCAATACATATACAAAAGCAAAACCGAAACACTCAATATACTATCACTTTAACTGGGGTAGATGCAATTAAAGTGTAAACTGTAGTTCCGATGCGTAATTTACGATCAAAACAGTTAATTAACTCAACGAGAAACAATACCACTGTCCTTTTAAATAGAGCGCGAACAAAAGGGAAATGAAGGAGAAGCGTGCCAAAATGTCTGTTTTTTTCCTTTTATGTCGCTGTTTCAAATGTTGCTGAATTGTCTACTTTTCGTCTAAATACACACAGAAATGTTTACTTTTCAACTCCTGATCAAAGGCTGAATTGTTATTTTTGGCCACTAGTACTAGAGATATAAATACGGTGATATGCTGGAGAGAAGAATTTTGAACTATGTGTGAAAGACATTATAGCAGCTTAGACAAAATATAAACCATTGGACAAGCAAAATAGTAGAAAAAATACTTTATGCCGCCACTGTGTACATGCAAGGGATTACTGAGTCAATTCGATAAACTTAAACAAAACAGACCTCAATACACTGTACTTTTCTTTAGGCAATTATTCTTTACCCTTCGAATTGTTTACGTTTTGATTTTTACATGGCCATAAAAATCCCTGAGTTTTCTTATCGCTATTACAACTTCTTAGGAACCTGAATAAGTGGAAACGATTGCAGATGTAATAAATCCCCAAAATAAATAGCTCTGTAAGTCTTCAACATTGGATGCTGATCACATGTTTTAATGAACTCAGCTAGCTGAAGGTGCTCTGTCATTCATCACGAATAGGGACGCTGCACTCAAAATCACCTGCAATCGCTAGCCACTCTAGATCATTCCATCCACGATATATTGATAGCCTGTCAAATATATCTTCAAACCTCTTCAATTCTGTCTTCTGATTTCATTTGGTGGGTAAGCTTCATATTAGAAGGTATTGCTGGTTAAAGCGTTGTCAAACTCCAAATACCTATGGAATCTTCAAACCTAAGTCATCACAAACGCACAAGTAAGGTTAAGTCTCTGATGTCACTATTAACTGATTAAATAAATATCTTGGGAAAAATAACATATATGTAGATGGATATAGACTTTAGGTGAACTTAGATAATTGGATCAGAGGCTCTAAAAAATGGGCGATACACACCAACTCGATCAAGCATGTTCATTCACATTGCGGATAATAGGTGAATGGTAGAAGTGTCGTATGCCACAATCCAGTAACACAACGATTTTTAGGTAACAATGTGACCACGATTTAAACACACGGTCGCAGTTAAGAGCAGCATGAGAAGCTAGACAATGATTCTGTCCTGCCGAAACTTTAGGAGTTTTCTGATGGTGATGTATAGGATATTAAGAAATAATTTTGAACGTGATATATCCGGCATTTCTTCTCCCAACAGATTTGAGCAACTCGACGGACATACCGAGCGAGCAAAAAAGACAAGAACTAACAAAATACATGTGGCGATCAGGCTTTCACGCCAAATCATCAATACTTGGAAACTGTTATCTGAAGAATTGATATATACCCCTTCAATTGGCTCATTCAAAAGGAGACTAGATAATCAGAAGCTTACAATAGAAGGAATAGCACAGACCGTAGGCCTTCTGTTCTCAATATGCAAACCTCAATCTGATCTGAATAATAAAGCAAATACGTCACGTCATTTTGTCCTTCGTTTAGTGTACGTGTAGAATTATGGTCTACTTTGTAATTAGTACTACTAAAAGAAATAGACCTAGCCCTTAAAGCATAGGTTTTTCGTGATGTAGCTACCGAATCTATAAGATCCTACGTGGAAGTCAGATTATTGTCAACACTGACTTATCGTACCGTAACAATTAACAGTATGGTACTTAGTACTTGTGAAGAAGACATTTATGATGACGATGAGAATATATTTAATGTCAATAAAGACTAGTTATATAGAATGACCACGTTTGCGAGGCTGAGCCACGCCGTGCGATTGAATCGAATTAATACTCCCCACCTACTCCATTGTTGACCTTAACTTCGTGTTAATGTTAAATATGCATTTTCTCGGTTATCATATTTTCAGCTGTGAAGGTTGTGTGATTAGAAGGAATGGAACTACGTATGAAACTAATCGCTTTGGGAAAGTAAGGCTATTGTATTCCATATCGTGCTCTGTAGAAAGAATTTACTTAACATCCTGACAACGATCGTTGCTACTATCATCATTAGCAAATCTTACAGATGACTTAAATAAAACTATTGGCTTCTGGTTTTGATCTCCAGATTGTCTTAATATGAGAACTGTGTTGTTTTTTAGTGTTGTTAGTCACTTTCCGTAGTAGGTGTAAGTGTGCTATGTGCGCTTGCTGGGTCTTCGACTCAACTTTTTTATGTTCTCCTGTTTCACACTCCTCCTCACTCATTCAACTTTGTATGTTCCTCTGTGTCTAGACGTGAAACGCTTCGTCGTCTACTTTTAACTTTTCATATGAGTTTCTCAGAAATGCCGTTGTTGTAATAAGTCAATGGTTCGTTAATAACCTTAGTCTTAATCAATGCGCTCCACTCAAAATATTACCTGTAAATTGGTTTACTGTCTGGTATTACTGGCCTCGTAAAGAAAGAGTACGTGCAATAATACACACGAAAAGTCTCTGTCACTTTCTTTTCGTTTAGTTTACATCTGTGAACTAGATTAGGTCTGTGTAAACCATTTGAAACATCTGTTGTGTAAACTGTTGTTTTGATCTCGGGTTAAATATTAGTGTGATAATTTGCGTACAATAACCCTGTATTGAAGTAAAATAATATTTGATGTGTTCATAGGTTATGCAGGGTGCGTTTCCCGGTAAATATTTCCAGCCTTCGCATTGTTCTGTGTCAGAACATGTTTTTCTCCCCAAAAAATATATAAATCAAAGAGATGTCGTCGTTTAATGTATAGTGTATTGGGATTCTAGTGTATAGACCTCTTCTTTTATCTACGTAGGTAAATTTTGCCCTAATGCTAATAGTTTCTGCCGAAGAATATAGTCAATGCTTATTCTTTTGATCAGTAGAATACAAATTTTCATAGTTTCTTATTTTCGCTCAGGTATTCAATTAGAATAGTTGTGTACATTGTGAAATCAGTAAAAAAACACATCTGCTATGCATACATGTGGTAGCCTTAGCAACTTAGTAAATATCGGCTGAAGTTAACGTGATTCCGTAGCCTTGGTTTACCTCCTGAGAGCATTCAGCGATGAGTAGTTAGATCCAATATCATGAAAGTCCTCTTTTCCCCAGATTTGATGGACCTTATTAGCGCCTTTTATTTCAAGTATGCGATTCAACATGATCTTTGTGTATAGAAAATACTAAATCCATTCCTAAGTATCTAACAAATTTTCCTCAAACTCATGAAGTCATTCCTAGTCGGTCGTACCTAAAATAGAACCCCGTATAATTATGTATCTACTGTAATTTCTTGAATTAGGGAGTTCGCATGCCTCTGCACACTTCAACCTTACAGTAATAAGACATTTAAACGCCACTCCATTACCCTTGGCACAGAGAACTGATGCCTTTAATCTTTACATTGGAAGCGTATCTAGTAACTTCATGTATCTGTTTACGTGTAGTAAGAGCACTGCTTCACTTTTCAAGACAGTAATACCGAGTTCTGAATGGACGAATGGTTTCGTCACTCGATACATGGTTCTCATAGTATCGTTTTTCGGAAACGATATTACCAGTTACTTTAACGTAGTACTGTGATTTTTGTTTTTACTTGTTAACTAACAATTTTCAGGATGTACTCCAACTTATTGCTCGCTTACCCTCCATTTTCTTTTTTATATATGTGTAAAACACGAGTTTATCTCGTTATGTACACATACTATTTTAGTCAAACGGGCTACCTGTTTTAAAGCATTTTCTGTCAATGCATTTTTGAAAAAGATGGAGTAGTTGTTGCCTTTGCCACATCATAGTTTGTAGGTGAAGCAGTGTATTCATTTTCTTTCATGTACTCTGATCCTCGTCCATCTTCATGATCTTCCGAAAATTTCAAATCTTGGTACAATTTTTACTTGATATTTTGTAACCGTATCTGGTCCATTCACGTATTTAAATTCTAATAGATAGCATACAGTTTTGGATTTCAGTTTATTTGTCAGTCCTAGCTATCTGATATCGGGCGGTGGTGTGATATTTCTTCACTCCTACTAATAAATACAGTGAACGGTACTACTCCCATTCACTTCGCTCCGCTATCTAGAGCAAAAAGTCGTCAACGATGGCTACAGTAGATTTTAAAATACATTTGGGATAACCAGTTGAACATCGACTAAGATAGCTACAGTTTATGAACATAGTAGTTCTCAATAAACCAATTATGGTGAAAAATGCATTGAAAGTTCATAGACAAAATTCATAATGTATAAGTTAGTGTTAAAATCGTTCATCCTAAGTAAATATTGACTTCCTCTCAAGTTGTATTTAGGTGCTTGGTGTCTGTATTATAACTATGTAGTGTCATTAATCCTTGCGCTTGCTAAAAGATTCTGATAATATACAAACACATGCATTTTGTCACTTCGTTTCTGGATTAATTTATCGTGTTCTTCTGATTCTTTGTCACATTTTTGGTTATTTGTTCCCGTAAAAGTCTTATAACTGCTTACTATAATTGTCAAAACGACATACATATTACTTGTGTCTTATTTTCCATTACTTCCACTGCGGTTGTTCACTAATCCTTGTCTATTTTCCTGTTTTTTGTTGTCAGTATTTTTTTGATGAAAACAGAAGCTGTACCATACTCTAGTCATAGATAAGTGGTATATGATTGGTCTTCTGACTCGAAAATTATGACTTCATTCGGAAAATATGTTAGTAATTTTGTCAAAACAGCTGTTTCGTCTATTTCCCCTAATAAAGTAACACCTTATACTTTAAGCCAATACGAATCTGAATATGAAAAGTGAGTTCATTTTAAATATTCATATACTTAAAAATTATCCCTAGTTGTGAACAGTTACTACAACAAAAGTCAATTTATTATTTCTACAAAGTGGCAAATCATTTTGATATGGTTTACTTACCTGGATCAGTTGGCATTCCAGTCAATGGAGAGACTGTCTATGCTTACAGGTGTTTATCTACTTTCATTTATTAAAAATGTTATTCACTCTTAAATTTGTCTAGTTTATTTAGATTTCAAGGCGAACAAGAAGCAGGCGTCGCTGTATTTTTAAGATACATAGAAGTTTTGGATCCTCTGCATTTAGCCTGTATGAACATGAATTTATCCATTGATCGCACATATTTGGAGAAAATAACTGCGCACTGTCGAAACCAGCGGTCGACGAACCCAATTAGTTTAGATGTAGGGCCAAGAACAGGTGTTAGTTTGATCTACCTTAAACCATCAGTATCGTGGGGATGAGATAAACGTTAAGAAAATCTAGACAACAGTAACACTTGTAATAATATATAAAAATTGATCACTATCCGTAATTTTGGACAAGTTACGCAGATCGTTTTTCTCCGTTGAGGGATTTATTGAGCTTTGTTCTTACTGAAGTATATCATATGATATATGATAAAATATTTATTTTCCATGGTCTTAATTTAAAGTACCAAAAGAATTGTAACTTCTGTGGACTTTCCCTATACTTCTATAGATGACACGATCACTTTATTGCGTAGTTCCGCACTTTTCTGGCACAATATTTAATTATAGGCCGATTTTTTCTGTACTTGATGCAGGAAGTGATTGTCTACAACCAGTCTTCAGTAATAAGGATAGTAGGTCGGTGAACCTGTATTAATCCTGACACATTGCTTTCCAGTGAAGGTCCAGCTTATCTTTGAAAGTATTCATTGATGGGGCTGATACTACTTGTTCGGTTAAGGCGTTCCAATCATTGACTACTCGATGAGAAAAACGGGATCCCACTTTAAGTTTATTAGATTGTGGTTTACGAACCTTCTTGCTATGACCTCGGAGATTATTAGTGCTAGAGGGAGCAAAAAGAAGACATATTAAAACCCAAATCATAATTAAAGATCCGAAATGCCAGTATAAGGTCACCTCGTGTCCTACGATACGACAAGGGGAAAAGATTTAGGCGTTTTAAACGCTCACCGTAAGGGAGTCTAGAAAGACCCTTTACTAATTCCGTTCCTACACGCTGGACACGCCCAAGGGAGTTAGTATCCTTTACCAGACACGGGCTAGCTGTTTGGATACAGTACTCTAAATGTGGTCTAATATAGATGGGATATAAAATTCTAAACGTTTCCTCGTCAAAAGATTTGAACGCTCGGCGAAGTGACCATAACGCACGAAAATCTTTGACAGCGGCTGCTTTGCAATGCTTAGTTGTTTATAAATCATGACTTAATACTACTCCTAAGTCTTTATGCTCTTGAACGCAAGGAAGAGGTTTATCCTCAATAGTATAACGGTAACTTACCGTGATCGATGTGCACTAGTACACTCTTCCTAGCATTGATTTCTAAGCCCCACTCTCGAGCCCATCTGACTAAATCGTCTAAGTCAGCTTGAAGATCCACATGATCAGCCGCACTTTTTATTGTTCTCCAGATTTTTACATCATCAACAAACAATAATGTCGACGACCTAAGTAACAGCGGCAACTCCTTAACGGAGAGAAGGAAGAGCAGAGGGCCTAAGATGGTGTCTTGGGGTACACCACTTTTGACCGGCTTCCAATTGGATAGCGTTCCATTGACCCTCACTCTTTGTCTGCGGTCACATAATAAATTTCCTATCCACTCCCGTACAGTACCTAATATTCCGAAGCTCGTGAGCTTCTGCATAAGACCTACGTGTGAAACCTTGTCAAATGCTTTGCTAAAATCTAGGAGTATCACATCGACAGACAGACCGTTATCTAGGGCTGTTGTCCAATCGTCCCTCGCAATAAGTTAGTCAAGCATGAACGCTTGTTACGAAATCCGGGTTGCTCATGAGCTAACAGATTGTGTAATTCCATGTGGCTTAGCAACCTAACCCGAATTATCTTTTCAAGTAACTTAACGACTATGCTAGTTAGACTGACAGGCCGGTAGTTAGATACTATCTCTCTTTGACCGTCCTTAAATATAGGACTGACTATAGCGTCTTTCCAATCTCTAGGGAGTTCAGCGAGTGAAACAGACATGTTGAAGAGTATCGCGAGCGGTTTTGAAATAATGTCCGCAAGAGATAACAGCAACCGTGGATGTAACCCGTCAGGGCACGGTATCTTACCAGGTTTGAGGTTAGTTATCAACGGAAGGACAGTTTCCACAGTCACCTGTACAGATTCAATGGTTGGTATCTCGGTGTGAGTGGGACAAGTATTTGTTACAATAATCGTTGAGAAGACTTCGCTAAAGTAGTCTGAAAAAGTCTCGGCTTTTGCTCGATCTGATTCAGCTAGTAAATCTGAATTTTCGTGTAACAGTAACGGGGGAATACCATCACTACGTTTCATTCGCCGTTTAACATACGAAAACAATCGTTTCGGACAAGTATGGCTATCATATACTAACTGTCGTTCGTAAGTGATACGGGATTTTGCTATGGTTTTCTTACAGATATTACGGAATTTTTGATACTCACGCTTAAATGGTGCATGACCTGTCAACAAGAATAAGTCCCAGAAATGTTTCCTACGCTTTAACAGCTTTCGGGTTTTCTTATTAATCCATGGAGGGCAATGTGATAGCTTGCGTGCTGACCATGGGATAAACGACGACGTTTCATATTTTCTCTGAGCTCCCCGAATTTTTGTTATACACTTGTTTCTTACCGATCTGTAGCGTTTCATCGTATCTTCTGTGCCAAGGCGGATGGTGACATCCCAACATTTCTTCTTTTGTCTTAGTAAACGTCGAATATCCCGGCCAATCCAGGGATGGCCGTACTTCTTCTCCTTTAGAACTGTCCAGGGTATGTATGGTTGAGTTACCCAATTGTATAACTGCCTGAATAGAGTCCATGCCTCTTGTACTGACGCCTTTGAGTCAATTTCCCAGTTTTCAGACGATGCTGCAGAATTAATTGCCTGCATATTTGCCTTCCATATGTTAGGACGGGCCGGCGCAACTGTTTGACAGGCAATCTCAGCCATGAATTTGGATAAGATGACTGCATGGTCACTTCTCTCAAGTGGTGGAGGAAAAGTCATTTGACCAACGTCATCACCGTGTGTTAAGACTAAATCTAAAAGAGAAGAAGAGTTTCTTAAATCGTATCTTGTGGGATCTGTAATGTGTTGGAATAATGCTAGTCCAATCGACGTTTCTAACAGTTTGCAGTCGAACGAAGATATCGATGACCCTACTTCTAAGTTAACCCAGTTTATGGTACATTAAAGTCGCCTACTACAAGGCCTTTACCGTTGTTACACCAGGACATAAGTTTACTTAGGAAAAAATCATCTGCTACACATTCTGGACTGTGATATACTACACTACTTCAATATCTTGCCGTCTGCATTTCAACTTACCTCTCACAGTTCACATGTCACTGAAACATGTGCTACTGTCTTAGCTAATCTTATGGTCAGGGTACTTTTCGTGTACAGAATAACCCCGCCTCCCCTTCGGTTTAATCTATTAGCCCTAATGGTTATGAAATCAGTCAATTGGATTTCACTATCTAATATTTCTGACGTTAACTAAGTTTCCGGGACAGCAATAACGTCCGGTTTTTCTTTATCCACCACTGACTTGAGCCCCGCAATTTTATTTAGTAGGCGGCGAGTATTTGTGTAGCATACCTTTAAGTCTGTGGAGAGCTTTCTTTTGCCACCCAGAGTGGCTTGGGGATCGTTTTGCTCCGAACTTTTACAATTTGAAAACCCTTAAAAATGAGGTTTCTTTCACCGTTTTGACGACGTTCATTTAGTTCCGCTTCTGCAGCTCGTCTCTTAATACGATCAGCTAGGCTGAGATCCTCACGGGCATATATTCCGGATCCAATCAGTTTACGTGAATTACTTAGAATCAGGTTCCTTTCTTCCACCGTGTTAAATTTAACCTTTAGGAGGCGGTTTTCTGAGGATTTTCTGAATCCACCTTTTTTCCTATTCGATAAAGCTTACAAATACTAACTTCTGAAACTGTATCTGAGAGTAGTTTACTTAATGATGTATTAATATGATTGAGATCGTGTTAAAATCTTGCCTTTGATTATGTATCTGAAGATTCTCTTATCTTATGAAAAATGACTAATCACTCAGAGAGATCTGTCTTGTCACGCAGTGAGGGTTATTCTTCTGATAATTTTCCTTCCAATTTCTTGCTGACCAGCTGCGTTTTGCCCACAGCCTTTTTCTTCCCATTTCTTTTTCGCCTTAATGAAGTCCACTCAGGACAGCCACACCTGGACTATGTGGAACGGTGACAGTTTTATCCGGATCTTCTATTTTGACTAGAGGTGTATGACTGCCGATGTCAATATCAAGCGAAACTTCATTCCTCGTTAATGTCAACGGAGATTTCACGTTCACGTCAACCACAGTCAGGTGTTTAACGGGTCCGGTAGCAGCACTTACTACACTGACACATTCTTCACCGTCAGTGCTCTTGTTATCAGTGCTTCCGCCATCGTTTTTCTTGCAGGCCAAAGCTTACAGGCCCATAGCCTCCTGAATTAGTACCTTTTTATCCGTACAGCAGAACATACAAAGACAATGCGAGTTGGGCTTTGAGCATTTTTTGTAAGCCTTCAGACTTAGGCGTGTACACATTTTGTGGTACCACTTTTCACAATCGTCACACTGCATTCCCTCCTCAACGGGGAACAAACAATTTGGTTGCCCACATTTGTGAGTCTTACCAACCATTGTAATTCGATTTAAAAGGTTTAAAAACACAAAATGATCACAATTTGAACACGGGTGTTAGTTAAGGAGTAAAAACAGGTACTCAGGACAAGATTTATCAAAAAATTCAAACTTTGGCCAAAGTACTTTTGGTTAAAGTAGACCAAGAATGCTTTTTAGTGCAATAAGTACCCAAAGCAAGTATAATCACAACGAGTGCAAAAATCACTGCCCTTTTTGATCCCTCTGTATCGAAAACTGTGAAGCTTACATATAATACGCTGACATTTATCAGCTTGCAATTCAAATCTATTAACGTACTTGCTCAAACAAAACTTCTGCTCTCATTAACTTTGGGACCATTTTATCGCGCTAGACTTGACTAAACGTACTACAGCGAAAAAATTCTCAGAATAGGTAGTTCTGTAGGTATTCGACGGTGATGCTGACATCGTTAAATATACTGGATATACCCTAGCTGCAGGCGCGCGGTAACTTGACCACACCGATAGCGGGTGAGTACGTCGTGCTACGTATCCCTTCTGTGGCGGTAAATAAATCCCAGAAATCAATATCTCTGTAAGTCTACGACACTAATGGACAGATCTGGGCGTAGGCGCTCGGTCACGTATCTGCATCGAATCACAAGTGGTAACGGTGTGCTCAACCAGTCCCGCAACCGCTAGTCACTTTAGATCAGTCAGTTCGCGATATGTTGATAACATGTGAAATATATCTTCGAAATTCTTCGCTTCCGATGTTCGATTTAATTGGGTAGGTATGATTCAGTTATAGGTGTTACCGGTTAAAGTGTTGCCAAACTAAAAATAGCTGTAGCATTTTCATTGATGAGCCCACGTCATCTGGTACACCAACTCGCAAACTGTTAGTCTTTCTTTTTGGAACTTCATGTATCATTGCTTTACTTCGATTTTTACATATTGTGATACTTCTTTTAAAATTTTCGGATATTTTCCCTCTCGTTCATTCCTATGCTTTATATTCGTCATGAAGGAAAGGGCTCCTAATTTACTTAAGATCAAGACTCATGCACCACCCTCATTTCACCTAATGTCATTCTGACCTGACAAAATTGAAGAGTGATTCGGCTACGCGGAGGCTGACTTCTATGGGCACGGCGTGACAGACCGACATTGATAGTTCCTCGCAGTTATGAAGGCGCTGCCGCACGAATTCAACAGGCACGTCAAAACCAGCGTGTTTACTAGTGGTGTTCCTGAACTTTTTGAAAATCTAAAACGCTTCATTCTGAAACGCGGAGATCGAACCGATCTATACAGGTTAGATCAACTCCTCAATAACGTTGTAGCGGTAAATAAATCCGCAAAATAAATAGCCTTGTAAGTCTTTGACGTTGGATGCCGACCAACTGTTTTAATGGACTCACCTAGTTGAAGGCGCTCAGTCATTCATCCGCACCACATCACGAGTGGGAACGCCGTGCTCAACATCTACTGCGATAGCTAGCCAGATTAGGTCAGACAATTCTGATATATTGATAGTCATCAAATTTATCTTCGAACCTCCTCGATTCTGTCTTTTGATTTCTACTTGGTGGGTACGAGTTATATTAGAAGGTGTTACTGGTTAAAGCGTTTTCAAACTCTGAATACTTGTGGCATCTTCAACGTCGATCTGCGACATGCCTTGGCAACGAACATGTTACGGTTGAGAGAAGTAATTGATCGAATGACTTTCAACGACAGCCTATTTAGACAACTGTTCGTGTATAAGCTTCCTCAGCAGGGACAGGTAGTGTTTGTCTCATTTCAAAATAACGATGTTGACGGACTGGCAGCATCTGCTGACCCGACTCTGGAGATATCCAGAACTCTCAATGCTGAGGTCTACTCAGTCAGAGGAAAGCCGAAAACGACACGAAATGATGTTACAGATCTCTCTCATAGTCGGACGCATTACCCCCGTCATGACCGTACATGCTATCAAACACATCTAAGGAGTACTTCATGAAAACGATCTGTTTCTTAATCACGAAAGACAGACAGTTTTACTTGGTGCTGGCACCATAATAAATATAGTAAATCTCGAAATTATAGAAAACTCTGCCGTTTCCCGAGTCACAAAAGACCAACTCGAGTAACTTTTTAGGAAACTTTCCAGCTGGCACACATATCCGTTGAGCATAGCTGTCTGTTATTCATCACGGACGTGAAAGCGAAAGCTCGCTATCTCACCGACACTGACGCTGAAGTTAGCGTTATTTCAGCAAATCCTAACAACCTCTGTTTGTACATGTCAATAGGTAGCTCATGGTGCTGTAGCAGATATACACCAATGGTTGGAATAGGAACATGCTCAGCAACTAAGATCCAGTGACTGGGTTCACGTAAATCGACGCTGAGATAGACGTACTGTTTATCATACGTGACCATCAGTTTTCCATTTGTCGACTGTAAGTTTAAGACCGATTCTTGGAGTCAGTCGTAGAGATCAGCCTCCGCGTGGCCGAATCATTCTTCAATTTTGTCAGGTTAGAATGACATTAGGTGAAATGAGGGTGGTGCATGAATCTTGATCTTAAATAAATTAGGAGCCTTTTCCTTCATGACGAATATAAAGCATAGGAATGAACGAGAGGGAAAATATCCGAAAATTTTAAAAGTATCACAATATGTAAAAATCGAAGTAAAGCAATGATACATGAAGTTCCAAAAAGAAAGACTAACAGTTTACGAGTTGGTGTACCGGAATACGTCGGTTTTGCCAGTAAAGTTGCCTTCGATATCCAGAATGTGACAACGCTTCTGCACGTAACAGCTTTTATAATAGGAATTTGCGAAAGGAATATATCGAATCAGAAGTCAGGAGTGAAGTATTTCGAAGATATGTTTTAAATGCCATCGTTGTGTCGATGAACTCTTGATCTAAGCTGACTAGCATTCTTAAGAAAAAGCGTAGCTAGGCTCACTCACTTGTGGTCTGGTGCAGATGCGTGACCGAGTGCCTACATCCAGATGTGTCTATTAAACACAAACGTGATGGCATCAAATGTCGAAGAGTTACAGAGCTATTGATTTCGGGGGGTTATTAACCTCTTTATTCCTAATTAAAGTCTATGAATAACCATTGTGTTCATGTTATTCTTATAATGGAACGAGGTTATCGGACGGGCAGATTGATAAATTGTGGTGTACTAGACAGGGATACTAATAATTCCACAATATAATAAATGGCTTTCGCTTACTCAGTTCGATTTCATTTCGCACTGTAATTCTAAGAAACTAAAATGCTAAAAACTGTGCGTTGTGATAGTAGCGTAGATAACCAGTGTGAATGATGGCCTCAATCTGATTAGGTAGGAAGGGTAACTACCTAGCTTGCATCGAAGTCGCACCTTGTGGTCGATACCTTAACTGGATCGCCCTGTCGCTGCAACCAGACCGCGTGTTTACTATAATGACCCCTGAACAGGCACAATTTTACTTAAAAAATATATTATGGTAAGAGACTAGAACTGTAAACATTAAAACCATTGCTCAGTGTGTCAGTTCCTAACATGCATTCGGTTCATCCATCTCTATCATTCTGTCGACCATTCACTGATTGTCTGTTTACGATAAAAGCGGTTCACTCCGATAGATAATTAGGCTAAAATAAAGTAATACTTCAGGGACCTGACAATGGTAAGTACTAATGAATAGACTGATAGAGATGGTTAATCACTCTGTGACTTTCAAGTTAGCCACAAAGCATTACCGAAATGACAGTGTGTGATAAAACGCACAGAGCATTCAGTACACCGATGTATTGGTTGCGTTGTAAGCTAAATATTCCAACCTAGGAAATTAAATAACCAAAATTACTTTTGACCCATATTTTCTGCGTCTACGACTACCTTCACAGTTTAAAGAGTAGCTTTATTAAGATCATAGCAGACATAATCATTAGACCCTCAACTAGTGCATAGAGTAATCCTTCCATTTGAATGTTACTCCTCAAGCAACTTTAAAGGTCTCACATCTTAAAAATAAGCTGTGTTGGGTGAAGTAGAGTTGCTTATTATAATGGTGTTTGTAAGAGCTTAACTATGTCATGAGTAATCGAAATCGAGTGGTGAACTATTGCCAAAACTATATAACGTAATCAAAAATAAGGACATGATGATCATTTTATCAGCACTTAGGACGAATGCGTCGTCTCGTGAATTTGTTTTTATATTTACAAAGAGCACAACGAAATTATTGACGGTTGAAAGGATCTTTTTTGTGTTTGTTGTCAACTATCGGCGTGCAACGATACAATCTAAGTGAATCATGGTTGGTTATCGTGTTTTTCTCTTTAATGCTTAAGTTCTGGTTTACATTTGCGAGTTTTCCGTCAATGTTTTAAAGCAGTTAGATCCATTTTGAATTCGTAATAAACTTTCCTAAAAGACCAGTTTACTATATATTATGAAACCAAATTATGAAAACTGAACTGACTGCAAATTTTTCGGTTCGATTCTTCAGGTTAAGGGCGAAAGAGGAGACATAGTGGGAGAAAAATTTGGACTATAAAACTAAATTTTCTTGTCTTTCTCACGGCACTCGTGTCTTCCAGTTACCAGTTCGTCTCTTCAAGTTCATTTAATGTAGCATCTCGTCCGCAGGTCCCTCTCTAGGAGATCCAGGACTTATGCGAGATCATCAATAGTACTTGCATAAGACCGTCTGAGGATTTCAAAAAGTATCCAGGATCACACGCTTGGGTTCCCCTTATCCATTGCTTTGGGAGGACATTCAATGGGAAATCCTTAGGTTGGAAATTTCAGTTTGGGAAGGACAGGAGGCCTGATAGCCTGTGTTAGTCCTGGCAATGGTGGTCCCTCAGTTGATCCAACTTTCTTTTAAAAGAATCGACGGATGGAGCATCAACCACGTGCTGAGGCACTGAGTTCCACTCGATGATTCGATGGGAAAGTCGATAGTCAGCTGACAAGTAATTTGTTCTTGGCTTGTGAACTTTTTTGGAGTGTCCTCGTAAATTCTCTGTTTCGGAAGACAAAAATGAGAGCATATCAGGTGCAAATTTATCACTAAGCATTTTGAAAACTGTAATCGAGTCGCCTCTAGTTCTGCGATATGACAACGGGAAAAGGTTCAGCTTGGCCAGTCGCGATTCATATGGAAGCTTCGCTATTCCGGGAATAAGCTTAGTTGCCGTTCTCTAAACCTTTTCAAGAAGCTCACTGTCGAACGAAAATGTATTCAAATGTTTCTGCAACACGAGTTTTTATTTTAAAAATGTTTCCGATAAGTAGCACCATCAACTGATATTTTCAAGGAGACTCACATCTGCGGGTCAGCAATTCTAGGAATTTGGGGATTAACCTCATAAATCCCCATCATCTTCATTTATACCATTAAGTACTAAAGTATTTAGGTCAAAAAGTATACCAAGTCAAGGGTCATTTGTTTCAGTCATCTACAACGTAGGATCAGGCACATATATACATCGATCCAAGTTGCCACACCTCATTAGCACAACAAGAAAATCAAATTTACAGAAGTAGTTACTTCAATGGTAATGCTATGTGACTCAAGGCTTGTGGTCTTTTGTGTCATTGTCCGTATTTTTGTGATTTTCACACCATTGGCCTTTAAGCTTACCGAGGCATAAAACTATATAACAGTGGGGGGAGGTATTCCCTACTTGTTTGTAATTAAACTTGTTATGTGATGAAACTGGCCTAAGATTTTAACGTTTATGGGATTTATGCTTTTTAGTGACTTATTACACAATTTTATTTTAAAGTTATACAGAACAACAAACTACCTCATGTCGAGATAAATTTCAAAATATACCTGTATTCGCAAAAGTAGTAAGGCGTGGTCGGACGTCTTGGAGCTTGTACAGCATAATTAATATAAAAGCTGTGACGTGAGCTAATATTTTATTCATAATTCGGAGAGTTATGGACATTTCTTGTAGTAAGCGAATTCTCCAAGCATTCGATGGAAATTAAAGAGCTTCAGTAGGTTGTATACCATTATTTTCTGGAAATGTTTCTCCTTACTCAACGCTTTTGTACTATTCGAATGTGGTTCTTCCACTTTTGAAAGTTAGATGTACTCTAGCAATTCTAAGTTGTACTTCACATTATAGAAGTTCATTTTGACTCAAGGCAAGACTTCATGAAAAAGGCTGTAAATATAACTTCTTGAATTGAATGAAAAGCATTTTCATCTGATTGTACGCTTAATTTGACTTGCATATTGAGTTCTAGTGTCTTTCAAGTCTAATTGGTGATTCATTTAAGTATGTCGAAGTGTCCAACAGATTATTATTGTCTGTCTGTAATCTGGTTGCTTATCCTCTTCATTTTAATTAGCTTTCACTGCAACCAATTTCAATTCTAAGTGCTGGTGCCGATGAAGAAAAGGCAGAAACCGCCCGACTTGTAAGTTTCACTTAAGAATCTTTATTTTAGTCTTCCTTCATTGGAGCCATTGCTATCGGTGATCTTGTTAAGACTACTTTGGGTCCTAAAGGAATGGACAAAATCCTCCTCTCATCCGGAGAAACTGTCGAAGTGACAAATGATGGTGCTACTATTCTGAAGTCAATCGGGGTAGATAATCCTGCAGCTAAGATCCTTGTTGGTATGTTAAATCCTAATTCTGTTTAACATTTATGGCAATTTAGAAATGAGTAAAGTTCAAGATGATGAGGTTGGTGATGGTACAACTTCAGTAACTGTTCTAGCCGCAGAATTATTGCGTGTAAGTTTTTACTACTAATCACTTATTAATGCTGATGACTGTAGTCTTATACGTATATTCGGAATCATTTGGTAGCTCTCGGTGTAAATTAGTTGAACAACTGCTCTTTAACTTCCCTTGCCCTGCGATCTTAATTTTTCAATCAAATTATACCTTAGTTATATGTTATCTAATACCTAATGATAACCTGTTGATGACTATGTGCTGAGGTTGTCTAAGTCAGTCAGCTACATCGTAGGACCAAGCACATATATGCATTGGTCCAAATTACCACTCCTGAAGCAACAACTTGTATTTAGAGGGGGAGAAGCGTATCTCAAAAATTCTGGCATTGTTGCTTAGTGCTACCAAAAGACTACATTTTTTCAGCGTCTTCACTAAACAGGACTATATCATCTGCGTATTCTAAGTCGTTAAGTGGACCTTCTGGTAGGAGATCAATGCCAGAAAATTCAGTTGATGCGAACGTTATCAAATGTGAAAAATGTAATAAGCCTTTATATGCCTGTTTTTGTGGCGCGTGATAATTATTTCCATAAATTTTGAGAACTCATCCTTGATATATCAGGCAGAAATAATCAACATAGGACGTAATACAAGTATACTAACCTAAGTTGTTACACCACAGGACAGTGATATTAAATTAACAAGATACATACTAAGAATTCGAAATAACAGTATTGTTAACTGTGGTGATATAACTTATGATACAGGATACTAGGTGAACTTTCGTAGAGTAATAGGTATGAAGTATTAAATCTCAAAATCTAGATAACAGTAGAAGATAAATACGTTTAATACGCAAACCGATTTCGCGCCATACCATAGAAGGTATAAATTATCGGTAAGGAATATTGCCTCAAATAGGTAGTCTATATTTCACGGCATAAGCTTGGCCAATAGTTATTGAGATCAGGTATTATTTCGGTTTTTAGCCTTCTTCCAGCCAACATTGCATATCCAAGTGGGTGGCATCTGGGTGTACGTAACATCTGTTCCATTTGTCTAAGTTTATAAAAAGTCACAATCTTAACATTGTTCTCATGTTTATTTACATTTGCACGCCTAACCTTATCGTTAGACACTCTAGATATCACTATACTGTAGGTATTATCTGTAAACAACTCCCACATTAAAGATTGGTCGCACTAAACCCATTGATCCATTAAATAATCCGGTGACAATAATGTGTGGTTTAGTCAGTTAATCATGATGAACATATAACCTGACAAAAATATGAGTAGGATCTGGTCACCGTACCAAATTAACATGATCCAATGAAATCAACATTTATAGCAGATGAGGCGGAATACTATATTCTCAGCGATAATTAGGACTGAATACAACGAAGGTACGTATAAATTAATACTAGAACTTCAGGATCTTTAGGGAGACTAAAAGCATACATCTCAAGAGCGAACAAGTTTAAGCCTTCCACCCAATTTCTCCAAGTACTAATTGCAGTTATTGTTTGGATCCCAACCGGGTAGTTTACATCCTTAGATACGACTAATGGACTGGTACCTACACCTAATGCTCAAATAGGTAAACTAAGCAAAAAGGAAAGACACCGGGGTTAATACTGTGGTATCGTAGCTCAAAGAACAGGTAATGGTGGCCGTCTGTTGCAGTTACGCTCAGATAACCGCCTGTCTCTTTCAAATACTAACTTGAGCATGAGAGAAAACATCTATTGACATTGCGAGCCCCGAATAGATCCCAACGTCGCTATCAGCCACCGAAGGAGGAGCTCGATAGAAGACTGTCGCTCATTCTGGAGCACATTCAGATTATGTCCTAGTGCGAGCGCGTATTTGCCTGCGTCTTACTGGACGTAGGAAAGACGCTGCAAGGAAACCTCTTTGGGCCCTACCTAATGATAGTCAAGCTAAGATTATATTTCAGGAACGACTAGAAAAACAGTTAGGCAGCCATGTATGTGATGCCCACCCTGAGGCAGCATGGAATGATATCCGAAAAGCTGGGGAAACAGCAGTAATATCTGCTAGTGCGGTAAAGCATAAGGTTAGAGAGAAACACTGGATCTCAGCAGCACCTACCGCACTGATAGATGTTTGAAAACTCATTCTATCTGGCTCTTAACATAACGAAGAGCAGAGTCAGCTTAAGTGCAAGCTGACAAGAAGCCTACGCAATGATCGTGAACAGTAGTGGGTAGCGAAAGCAAGAGAGATGGAAAAGACAGCGGCAATAGGTAATAACAGACAATTGTTGACTTGTTAAGGAAACCGGTATTAGGAACCCGACTGTTAGCGAAACAGTCTCAGAGAAAGATGGACATATCATACATTCTCAATCCAGGAGATTGGATCGATGGGCGGAACATTTTGGGGATGCCCCCGAATGCCCTGGTATGGCAAGTGGGGTGGACCCGCCCTCCCTCTTGAAATGCTCTCACACGGCCACGCGCATACAGCCTCTGCCAGGGAAGTCCTACTCACTGCCTTTTTGTGGTGGGGGTGTTGTTTACGAAAATGAGAGGACGAAAAGCGGATGTCCGGCGCTTTAACTGGTTTCCAAACCAATGGTGCACATGGTCTCCAGTATCCTGAGGGAACAAATGACGTATGAAATAATTGTTGGTCATCGGCTACCATGAGACTGCATCTCCTTACGTTGCTCCACTGCCTTGTGGATCAGACCTTCGGGTGTGGCCCCCTAAGAAAACCATCTGTTTCGGTCTGGGCACCCGGGCAGTATCACAGCCCACATACACACAAATATGGTGTGGCGCATATATATTTGGTGCCCTCTTGCACCAATATTTATGTGTTGAAATAATAATAAAATAACACTTTGGGGACCAGTTCAACTGGCATTCAGCCACACTTCGGTTTCCCACGATCTCCAGTCAACCTGAATAGCAAGTTAATGTAGGTCCTCCGACTCTTTACGAAGTTGAAAAAGCTATAAGAAATCTAAAGTGTGAGAGAGCAACAGGCCCTGACAGGTTTACTCCTGAGATTTTTAAGGATGGTGGTCCAGTACTAGTAGTGAGATTGACTGAGGTCTCAGGTAGGATTCGGGAATTGGACGTAATCCCATCTGACTGGTCTCAATCACTGATTGTGCCAGGCTATAAGAAAGGACAAAAGTCCTCTCGTGACAATCACAGAGGAATCAGTTTGACTAATATAATGTCTAAAATATTAGCTTCAATAATACTTCAACGCCTAACTAAAGCTCGTGAAGAGCAGACTAGAGAAAACCGGGCTGGTTTCCGACCTGGAAGTGGTTGTATAGATCAGATATTCACACTCAGGTCCCAGAACATAGACACACATTCAGACGCCCCACAATCGTAGTATTTCTGGACCTTAAGGCGGCATTTGACTATCGATCGTGAGGTTCTATGGCAGTGTTTGTCACTGAAAGGAGTACCAAAGAAGTACATTAACCTTGTAAAGGCTCTCTACTCAAACACAACTGGTCGAGTGAGAGCTTATGGCGAACTGTAATCAGAATTGATTACCTCAAGTGGTGTTCGTCGGGGTTGTCCACTCTCTCCATTCTTGTCCAACTTTGTCGTCGACGTGCTTTCAGAGATGACACTTTCCTCATCTAAATTTCCAGGGGTTGAACTTCTACCGGGAGATTCACTCGTTGACTTGGAACATACCGATGACATAGTTCTATTTAGTGAAGACGCTGACAAAATGCAGTTTTCTGACCACTGTAAGCAACAATGCAAACATGTTTGGGATGCGATTCTCCCCCTCGAAATGCCAAATATTGCTTCAGGATTGGGTGGCATTGGCACTTGAACTTATTATAGGGAGTGAAGTAGTTGAGCGTGTCGACCGCTCCACTTATCTTGGAAGTCTCATCAGCCCTTGTGGTCTGGTGTCTGACGAAATCTCAGCACGGATACAGAAAGCTCGACTGGGTTTTACCAACTTGCGTCATTTACGGCGCAGGCGAGATATCCGTCTCTCAATCAAAGGACGGGTTTACTGCGGAGCAGTTCGTTCCGTCCTTCTTTATGGCAGTGAAACATGGCCGGTAAGAGTAGAAGATATTAGTAGGTTACTAGTATTTGATCATAAGTGTCTTCTAAACATTGCTCGTATATCCTGGGACCACAGAGTAGGTAGCTCAGTTGTTAGGAAACGAGTACTAGGTAGGGATGGCAAATCAAGTGATGAAGTAATGAAACTTCATTAATTGAGATGGCTGGGACACGTGTTACGTATGCCCAACCACCGACTGCCCCGACGTGCTATGTTTTACGGTGTAGGAGTAGGTTGGAAGAAAGCTAGGGGCGGCTAGACCAAAACATGGCACAAGTTCATGATGTCACTGACAAGTGAACTGAGTCATATTGGTAGGTGTAGACTACCTGGTTGTGATCCGCGATACGATAGCAACCGATGGTTGAAGACCCTGAATGACATGGCTCAAAATCGTTTCCGGTGGCGCAGGTGCATCCACTTGTTGTGTTCTCCCAAATTCTAATCTTAATTCTTCGTGTCCCTTTTTATCTTTCCAAATTTATTTCAGTGGATTAAACTCCTTGAATAACATCTTCAAACCGTAACCTTTCCGATTACTGCTTATACTTTTATTACCTCCACCACTATGGAATTTGAATCGACAACTGCATCTCTGTGCTAATGTGGTGTGGCAACTCGAACTGATGTACGTACGTACGAAGTTCTACGTTGTTGCTGTCAGATTAACACATACATCAGCTGGCATTTCACATCGAAATAATCAGTGGTTTGGCATATGTAACATATTCCAATAAACCCACTTGATGAAGATTCAAAGCCTCACCAACTGGCTTGTCATTTTTGACAAAACTTCGCCGTTCCAAGCAACACCTCGGAAACAGCTGTTATAAATAATCTGCATCTCACACATCAGCTTTCGTAAACTGTTTCACAGCCATAGAGTAATAATGCAGACTGCTGCATAATATACTCGACTTTTGTTTAACAGGCGGACATCTCACCTACGCGATAAAAGATGCAAGTTGGCTTGACCCAGCTGTGCTTTCTGAATCTACTGAAATATTGTCAAATACTAGCCCATCAGGGCTGATAAGACTTCCAAGGCAAATAAAGTAGTTAACTATTTGTTGGCGCTTCACAACTGTCTTTGAGATCATATAGTTGGGTTATTAGTAAAATCAGATATGATTCAAATTTAGTCATTTCTAAAGTTTTATTTTGTCTCTTGCGTTAATGAAGAGATATGTTCAGGATTTTTTCCTTTATATAATCTATAGACCATAGGTATCATCTTCATGATCTTTACCTTCTTGGGTTCATTTTCAATTTACAACTTAGTTTGTAATAGGATCTGTGTAGCATTTATAGTAGCTAACAGTGTTTATAGTTTCCTTTTTACACAACTTTGAACATAACTGCTGAATATGTATACGTCTCGTTATGGTATTCCTCTTAAGGCTTAAGCCTAACACCACCCATCACTCTAAACAACAGTCTTGCCGAAGCCAGCCTGATTTTCTCGAGTTTGCATTTCACGAGTCTTAGTTAGGCGTCTGATTATTATTGAGGCTAGTATTTTAGATACTATATTTGTTAAACTAATCCCTCTGTGGTTGTCACAAGATGATTTTGATCCTTTCTTATATATTGGGACGATAAGTGATTGCGACCAGTCAGATGGGATTACGTCCAACTCCCAGATTTTAGCTAAAATATTAGTCAACCTAACCGCTAAAATTGGACCACCATCCATAAAGACTTCTGGAGCCAATCCATCTGGACCAGCAGCCCTTCCTCGTTTCAGATTAACTATAGCCTTTTGAACTTCAGCAAGAGTTGGGGGACCTACTTCAATGTTCCATTCACACTGTCTGGGAATGGAGGGTAGTTGTAGAGTAGCTGAAGGCCAGTTGAACTGTTCTCTAAAATGTTCCGCCCATTGTTCTAAACGTCTGGACTGGGAGCAGATGAGGGTGTCATCTTTTTCCGAAATAATCTCAATTACACTTGACTTATTAATTCCAGTTTCTTTTATTAGTCTGTAAAGCTGTCTTGTGTTCCCTATAGTCGCCACCTTTTCCATCTCTTTTGCTTTCGTTACCCACCACTGCTCACGGTCGTTCCTTAGACTTTTTCGTAACCTAGATCTGATTTGTTGTCGCTCTTTATCATGTTCAGAACCTGATGGGATGAGTTTGCGAGAATCCATCAGTGTGATAGACCTTGAAAAACTCCACTGGTTCTTTGTAACTCTGTGGTTCAAGTCACTAATAGATGTCACTGCTGTTTCCACAGCTGATTGTATGCCTTTCCAAGCAACATCTGGGTCAGCCCCGTTTCAGAACTACCTAGGTGTGACCTCAGTTGTTCCTGGAACCTACTTTTGGTTGTCTCGTTACTCAATTCAGTTTTAATGGGTCTTTTTAGTATGGCTTTTCTGCGTCCAGTGAGGCGCAAGCAGATGCGTGCTTGTTTTAGGGCGTGGTCGGAGTCCAAGCAGGTACTCCAGAAAGAGCGACGATCACCTCATTAACGTCCTGAGCATACATTATAATCTCCTGGTTAGGTTGCTAAATAAAATGGTAAGGACGATTTCATTGGGTCTCTGTCGTTTTCTATATAGTGTTTACGTCTAGTTGTTTTGCTATTTCAGGATTTGAGAATTACCAAAGGGAAGTATACTTCTGTCATCATGTAATATGTATTTTTCGTTAATCTTGCATCCATTAAATAGTACATAATGTACACAGGAAAGTTTCGCTGTCAATTCCTTAGTGCGCCTGCTGAGAGTTGACCAAAAATGATAAAGACACGGGTTTTGTGAATAGTGTTAGAGATAAGTGAAGCGAACAAAATTATGAAATCGTTTAGCTGAATTCGCTATTGCGTTCTTATCACGTTCCATTGTACAATAAACAATCAAAGGTTGTAAGATATTGATTGAAAATAAATCAAACACCATATATCAATAATTAATTTATAGTTCCAGGCGTCACAAAATGTAGAAGCTTCAAACTCCAATTGTAAATCTGTCATCGCAACATATTTACAAAGTGCCAAAACTTACCCAAACGCTACGTAGCGGTTATCCATCCATTCAGCTGGTGCCAGTGTAATGAGGAACTGTGAACTATTTGTGTGACGTCCAGAATTAGCCATACTTAGAATTCCGCGTCGATCATGCTTGATGATATAATTTTCATCTTGGTTGGTGGAAATTAGATGTATGGTTTAAAGCTTTTATGAGTGTCTGCGGGAAGAATAAGTACTAAACAACTGGCTAATTAATAATAATTGGTCCCCTGTTTCCTAAAACTCGAGACACTGTAACACTTATCAAATTGGAGTTCCTATAAAAGTGTAAGTCAAAAGCCTCTTTAGTCGCCCACAAACCAAGATATCTTGCCGAATGTGGTCTGTTTTCTTAATTAAGTTGTGTTTGTCTCGAAAATACCAATATTCAGTTATCAGTACTAAGTACATAGGGGTGTGATAAGTCGTGCTTCTCTCGATTTTAAACTTCTGATAACTTTATAACATAATTCAACCACTTAGATCACGTCATTTACATTTATATATATCCTGAACAAAACACCGCATACATCTAATGGTGTTAGATCAACACACACAAGCTTTCAGCATTTGAAAATGTTTATGAATGAACGTTCGCAATTGGTAATGTAAATGTAAAACAACAACTACTATTAGAATATTCCCCTGAGTGTGGGTTGTTTGTGTGTCTTTTTACAACTTTTCATATAAATATATACTTGCAGGTGCATAGTATGCCGCTGAGAAACATCATTCCTGTGTTATGAACTCCACTAATTCTAGTGTTTTTCTAAAATAGTTTAGGGGTTTAAAGAATTTTTATATATACTTCTAACTCTCATAAAACAACCAACAGTAATTTCTTCCAGTCTGAACGTGAAAAAGATAACGATTGCGAATTTTGTCTGTTATACTTTTACATTTGTGCGACAGCTAATTAGCTGAACACGTAACAGAAGGTAAAAGTGTTCTAACAACGGAATTTTTATATTGTGATTGGTAATTCTGAACACATGAGATTATTTGCGGTTCATTACGGGCTAGCGATCTAGAAACATTTTAATACCAGTTTCGGTATTAAAATACTAGCTATACAAATTTATACTTTATGCCCAGTACATGAGAACGGTCTCTAATGGAGTTAAAGATAAAAAAGCATGAATGTTTTGGTGGGGAACACACCAATTTAGTACTTGTGAAGGTTAATATTTAATTGACGAAAGTGAATTACCTTCAAATACTGGACCATAGATTGAACGACCATCATTTCCTCTGTTATACAAAATATCTAAAGCAAAGTAGGTTGTATAGCTTTTGTACCTCCACCTTGAATCCATCCATTTTTTACCAAACGGAAAAATTTCGTGCCCTTATAATTCATTTTATATTTCTCCACCTCGTTTTTCTTAATCACTCCATACTCGCCAGTACACAATGACCTGAAATTTTCACATGTTTTTGGCACAAAGTCAGAGTATAACTAAGACTTCGACTTCTGAACAAGTTATCATACCTCAAGTAGTAAAATGCCACACTTCTCCCCATCGATTGATATATGCATGGAAACATGTATTCTCTAAATAATTATAGGGTAATTATTCAACATTTTGTGCGGAATCAGTCTTACATTAAAATGAAGTAGTCTTTTTTGATAGGCATCAATTGCCAATGCGCTATATAATGTCATAGGACGGTAGTCAGTAATGTTGAATTCCCTTTCAGCCCAATTCGCTAGATCCTCTTCCGAACCTAGTGGATTCCCATCTATTATTACCAACACATCATGATTATAGATCCAGTATGCTCCGCCAAGTTTCTGGATATGATAAATGCATATATGAACGCACTTTCTTTGTTGTCCTTATGAAGTCCGCCCATTCAAACTCAAACATTCCACATATTCTAGGCTGTTCAAATATTTCATGGTGTGATTCATGAAGATCCTGCACTGATTTATGAAGTAAAACTAATACTCACAGAGGCCAAGAGGCTTGCCTTCTGAAAACTTTCCTTATGAACCAAACCATATATCTCTATAACCATGAAATATATTATTGAAATGTGATATTTGTCAGATGCTATGGTTACTGTTAGGTGGTTCAATCAAACGCCTGAATTCATGTTTGCGAAGGGTCAACCGTGAATTCGTCCTGTAAATACATTCTTGCTGATGATTACCCTTTTTCTCGAATTTTAGGTACCAGTATAGACTTTAAATTAGTGTTGTTACATAAATCATCCATATAAGTGAATTTTCAAATTTTGACATTTAAGCTGATCATTTTAGCTTTACTGGACAACACTAGCTAAGTGTGCCCGAATAACCAACCACCGATGATTCAGATTTGTGTTGTAAGGACAGAAGGCCTAAAAGCTATGTTATTCCATTTCTAGCATGCTTCTGTGAGTATCCAGTCTTCTCTTGAAAGAGTCAATTGAAGGTGCGGACACCACTGCTTCAGGCAGCAGGTTCTAATTATTGATGACTCGGTGTGAAAACCTGTATATCACGGGTATTTTGTTCGTTCTTGGCCTTTCTACTCGCCTGCTGTGTCCTCTGAGGTGTCCTGATCTAGTGGAAAGAGAGAGAATAAGTTAGGTCCAAAATAATTTCTCAGTATTCTGTACATCGAAATTAGATCTCCTGTGGTGTTTGAATTAACTAATGATTCTTTTGTACTTGTTGATTGTACGATTTCGAATTCCAAATACAATACATTCGTTTGTGCTTGTGTCTTCCTAATTCAATTGCGTTACTTCTTGGACTCTTAGTTCGTGCTATAATTCAAATAATTCGAAACATTATGCTGGCTTCGCGATGGAGCCTGCAATGGAAAAGTTAGACATTCGTTCAACTTCTGAAGCTTTTGAGGATTATTTCGAAAGGTTCGAAATCTGGGTCATGACCAAGGAAGATGATGAGGATGTTAATATTGTGGCATATTTCCTCATATTCATCGGCAAAGAAGCATACAGCTTGTTAAGAACTCTGGCTATGCCAGAAAAGCCCATTTCGCTTCCCTATACAACTCTCAAGGAATTACTACTAGACTATGTCAAGTATGCAAATTTTGATTGCAGTAAAACAGAGAAATTTCCTAAAATGATTCATCAGGACATCAAAAATTCTACTACATCACGTTGTCCGAATCCAGTGCATACTCAAGGTTTTGCAGATAATTCATTGAGGAGTTGCAGTGCGTTTCACGAAGATTGGCGCAAGTGTGGTCAATGTTTGTCCTGTGGCAAGTTGCACGCTTTTAATTCATGTAAATTTCGTAATTATAAGTGCTTTAAATGTGGTGATATGGAACATATTCAGTCAGTCTGTAATACTAATGTTCATGTTATTGCGACTAATATTAAGTCTTGTAATTCTGATTCTACTGAGTCGAGTATTTATAATGATGATTTATCCTTATCATCGATTGCAATAGACAGTGTAGAGTCACAAAGCAGTTCAGAGTTAAATCAAGTTCAGAATTCTTGCGAAACAACAGTTTCTCACCAATCGATTTATCAGAATTCTCATGCTATTGTACCAGGTATGCTTTTTCCTAATGATTCACATATTTCTGATGAAATTCCTTGCAAATCTGAAGAAAATATGTTGAGTGAACATAATTATGATCGAAAACCTGATGTAGTTTTGATAGATGCTAATATTTCTAATGATACATTACTCTGCAATGACAGAGGGAATATTTCAGAAGAATCAAATCCTGATGTTATATCATATATTACCTATCCTTATAATGCATTTGATCTTTGTGAAAAACTTGTTAATGAGAAGTACGAGTATTAAGTGAGCTCAATTTTGATTACAATTCGGATGATTTCATACCAACTGCTGTTCATCCTTATCACAAAACACTTCTAATGTTTACTCTGGTCAATGTGAGGAGTATGTTTTAAATGAAGTCGCATTATTCATAACTTGGGGATATAAAGATCCGACATTATTTCGTGGGGGAGGATAGTGTTGAAAAATATATGGTTCCAATTCTAGATATTAATGATTTTGGTACAAAACCGACATGCTTATTGTATACAATTCTAGGTTAGTCTGTTCCGATTTCGTTTGTTAATTCCAGTACTAATTAGCACATTCTAGATACTACAAACTTTTTATCCAATACAATATCGGACAGACTTAGGATGAACTTAACAAGAAGACATACAACCGATACAAACACTTATACTTCTATTTAAGCTGTGGCGGATGTGGTGTTTGAATTGATTAATGATACCTTGGTACATGTTGATTGTACGATTTCGAATTCCAAATACAATACATTCTGTTGTACCTGTGTCTTCTTAATTCAATTGCGTTACTTCATGGACTCTTAGTTATTGCTATAATTCAAATAATTCGAAACATTATAATCTCCCTTCAGTCTGCGATAGGACAGAGTAAAGAGGTCCAGATTTTCAAGTCGTTCTTTGTATTATAAACCCCGGTGTTCCGCAGTTGCACCGGTAGCTGCCCTCTGTACTTTTTCTAGTATGTCCGAGTCACCTTTTAAGCAGGGGCTTGCAGCCTGAACGCAGTTCTCTAGCTTAGTTCTCGCTAAGGATGTGTATGCTGTGGTGAACATGGTAGTATCTAATTTAGTGAATGTCCTTTTTAAAGCATAGAGGGTTTGAAACCCCTTGGCTGCAACCTCTCGGAAATGGGCCGTCGTCTTAATATCACTACTCACTGTCACCACTAGATCCTTATGAGACCCGACACATCCCCTATGTTGTACCTATTAGCCGTTGAATCCCCCGAGTGCATGTAGACACACCTTTTTGCGTTGATAGGCATCAGTCACTCTTTAGACCAATTTATCATATTATTTAAGTCTGCCTGAAGGGTAAATGCGTCTGTATCTCCAGCTATTACTCGCCAATTTTTTACATCGTCAGCGTATAATAACATTGGAGACTGTACTATAAATGTAAGATCATGAACGTGCATTATAAAAAGTAAAGGACCTAGGATGCAACCTTGGGGTACTCCACTCCAGGTGGAGCACTTGGAATTTATTCGTACTTTTTGTCTACGACCTACTAGGAAATCTTTAATCCATTTTAAAAGAGGTTCGGCAATACCAAGGTTTTCCAACTTCAATAGCAGTCTATTAGTTGGCACCTTGTCAAAAGCCTTACTGAAATCTATGTAGACAACAGCCATTGAGTTTCCAGAACTCCCTTGCTATAAGGAGGTTCATTGTACAGGATAGACCCTTTCTAAAACCATGTTGTGCGATGTTCAGCAAGTTATTGGTTTCCATAAATGCCGTTATGGTCCGTTTGATTATTCTTTCCAGTATTTTAATCACAACACTGGTGAGGCTTACGGGTCTGTAATTCGATGAAACGTGTTGTAGACCTGTTTTATGTATGGGAGTGACGATTGTGTCCTTCCAGTCCATAGGTAACACACCTTGGTCAAGTGACATATTGAATATCACAGTCAGTGGGGCCGCGATATATTGAGGAATATGTCTCAAGATTTTGGGGTGTAGTTCATCTGGTTCTGTTGACTTCTCCATGTTTAGGGTGCTAAGAGCCTTAAGCACATCGTTTTGGTCGAAGTCCACGGTGAGCAGCTGTTTTGTTGACTCTGTATTTGGGTCTGGTTCTTTCTCTAGAGGAGGTTCTTGAGTGAAAACTGCCCCAAAATAGTCAGCCATAGCCTCTGCTTTTTCATGATCTTCCCCTATCATTTCAGATTCACTTCCTACTTTAATTAGGTTGCGAATCCAATGATGCATCCTTGTTCTGTAGTTTATGTACGAGAATATTCTCTTGGGCTGCTTGAGTGCAGATTGTACCATCTGCATTTCATATTTTCTCTGAGCTCCCCGAATTTTTGTTATACACTTGTTTCTTACCGATCTGTAGCGTTTCATCGTATCTTCTGTGCCAAGGCGGATGGTGACATCCCAACATTTCTTCTTTTGTCTTAGTAAACGTCGAATATCCCGGCCAATCCAGGGATGGCCGTACTTCTTCTCCTTTAGAACTGTCCAGGGTATGTATGGTTGAGTTACCCAATTGTATAACTGCCTGAATAGAGTCCATGCCTCTTGTACTGACGCCTTTGAGTCAATTTCCCAGTTTTCAGACGATGCTGCAGAATTAATTGCCTGCATATTTGCCTTCCATATGTTAGGACGGGCCGGCGCAACTGTTTGACAGGCAATCTCAGCCATGAATTTGGATAAGATGACTGCATGGTCACTTCTCTCAAGTGGTGGAGGAAAAGTCATTTGACCAACGTCATCACCGTGTGTTAAGACTAAATCTAAAAGAGAAGAAGAGTTTCTTAAATCGTATCTTGTGGGATCTGTAATGTGTTGGAATAATGCTAGTCCAATCGACGTTTCTAACAGTTTGCAGTCGAACGAAGATATCGATGACCCTACTTCTAAGTTAACCCAGTTTATGGTACATTAAAGTCGCCTACTACAAGGCCTTTACCGTTGTTACACCAGGACATAAGTTTACTTAGGAAAAAATCATCTGCTACACATTCTGGACTGTGATATACTACAACTACTTCAATATCTTGCCGTCTGCATTTCAACTTACCTCTCACCAGTTCACATGTCACTGAAACATGTGCTACTGTCTCAGCTAATCTTATGCTCAGGGTACTTTTCGTGTACAGAATAACCCCGCCTCCCCTTCGGTTTAATCTATTAGCCCTAATGGTTATGAAATCAGTCAATTGAATTTCACTATCTAATACTTCTGACGTTAACTAAGTTTCCGGGACAGCAATAACGTCCGGTTTTTCTTTATCCACCACTGACTTGAGCCCCGCCATTTTATTTAGTAGTCGGCGACCATTTGTGTAGCATACCTTTAAGTCTGTGGAGAGCTTTCGTTTGCCACCCAGAGTGGCTTGGGGATCGTTTTGCTCCGAACTTTTACAATTTAAAAACCCTTAAGAACGAGGTTTCTTTCACCGTTTTGGCGACGCTCATTTATTTCCGCTTCTGCAGCTCGTCTCTTAATACGATCAGCTAGGCTGAGATCCTCACGGACAT